TATGCTGTCTGTTGCTTTAAAAAAAAATTTTCCAGCAAGAACTCATCTATGTGGCCTTTTATTAAACTCTCCAGTATCTTCCCAACTATAGAAGTTAAACAAACAGGTCTATAATTACTTGGTAAATATTTTGACCCATTTTTAAATATTGGCACATTTTTAAATATTGGCACATACGCCAATCCAGTGGTACTATGCCAGTCATTAAAGAGTCCCTAAAAATGAGAAACAATGGCTTTGAAATGGCAGAGCTCAATTCTTTAAGGGCCCGTGGATGTATGCCATTCAGTCCAGGTGCTTTATTCACCTTTATTCTGTCTAAATATTGTTGGATCATATCACGTGAGCCAATCTGGAGCTGTGTCAATACCATGCCCATTATGGACAAGAGCTCCCCCATGCTCCTTTGTATACACAGAGCTAAGAAGGTATTTAATAAATTTGCCTTCTCTTTGTCCCCAGTCACCCACTCTAGATTATTTTGTAAAGGGCCTACATGCTCGGACCGGATTTTTTTACTATTAATATATTTGAAGAATTTTTTGGGGTCGGTCCTGCTATCTTTTGCAATTTGTTGTTCGTTTTCAATTTTTGTGGCCTTTATTTCCTTTTGCATATTACGTTATAGTCAAATGTTTAAACGAGGATAGCATTCCTTCATTTTTATATTTAAAAAAAGCTCTTTTCTTATCATCTATAGCTTTTTTTAAACTTTGGTCGTAAGCCACATAGGTTTTTAGCCTTTTAAACTTGTTGCCCATGGGAATATATTTTGCAGAGTGTTCACGTACAGTCTTTTTGAAGAACTCCCATTTCTGTGTTGTGTTCATTGATGCCAATATTCCCTCCCAGTCTAAGTCTCGGAGAGCAGCTCTCAGCCTTGGAAAATTAGCTCTCTTAAAATGGAGCGTTTTTATTTCTCCCGCATGTGCTTGCTGTTTACAGCTAACAATAATTGAAATCATGTTATGGTCACTGCTACCCAGATGTTCTTTTATATGGACAGTCGTAATAAGCTCTACATGGTTTGAGATTACCAGGTCCAGCAGAGCATCATTCCTAGTTGGGGCCTCTGTGAACTGCACCATAAAATTGTCCTGTACTAGGTTTAAAATTTTTTGCCTTTTAACTGTTCGTGCAGTACCATTACTCCAGTCAATTTCCGGGTAGTTAAAATCAATAATGGAACAAATGCTATTCTCTGTTTATCAATACCAATTGTCACACGTAGAGCTTCTCATCACTGTGGCAATACCGGATGTAAACCGATAAATGAATACATTTTTAAAAAAAGGTAGAAAGATGTACTCGTGGCGTTTTTGTTTTTGCCGTAAAGATTCTTGTTCTTATCATAAATGGACCCTATTCTGAATAGTTGGAAGTCATGGACATGCACAATGTCAACACTCTCTCTCCTTTCACACGTAAACTCACGGCTCTGCACTCTGAAGGTTATCTGACTTGACAGCTACAGAATGCAATCTTTCAGTTGGGATAAATGCTAAAGTAAGTGGCAAAGGGGAAGGAAAGGCAAGGTGGGGTCTGAGCTTCCAGGACAATGGACTGATGACAGCCGAAAAAGAAAACTTGCATATTATGCATATCACCCATTTTTGTGCAAGAGCAGTGTGAATGTATTCACAGTTATAAAAAGGAATGAAGAAATCGATACCTTGCAAATGTTTTTATGTGTTATTTATGGATAGCTTTGAGGTTCTAATCTCCTTAGACTGTGAAGTACCTCCGCTATGTGGTGACTGAAAATATATTTCCTCTTAAAGAATGTGCTTTTGTTAAGTAGCAGGAAGCCCAGCAAACAAGGAAATAGACCAATTATGTAAGGTAAGATTTATAGTTAGAAAGCACAAATATTAAAACTGTTTTGCTAAATGTAACATGAAACAAAATGTTTTAAAGTAACTGTCACTAAAAAAAAAAGAACAAAGAAAAACCAAAATCTGCAAAAGACCACCAACAATGCACTTGTACCCTTTAATTTACATGAACCTGGCAACATTTGCAAGATGTGGACCATTTTAAAGAGCGCTCAGACCAAACACATTTTTACTTTTAATGTAATGTACATTTAAAGAGTAACTTCACTTTCTTTAAGAAAAAAACAATCAAAGTTATCTAAGTACATTGCAAGGATTTTAACAAACTTTGTTGCAGAAATAGTTGTTTGTTTGTATTTGTACATGTGCAAAGCAAATCTGTTGACCATGTCTATAGGACAATAGTTTTACAATTATCAATCAGCTGCTGCACATGCAGGGCTCTAAAGAGGAAATTGGCAGGGTCTGCATCCATTTAGATGTGATTTCCCTTTGGAAGCATCTCATCAAAAATTTAATTTTTGCTGCAGGGGATGCCAAGCATTTGAATGAGGAAAGAACAAAGAGAGGGCGCACAGGCCTAGTGCATTACCATAAAAAATGTTTAATGAGAAACAAAATAGGTGTTGTACTCACAAACGACAATAAAGTCAAGGCACATCATAAAAGAACAGCTGGGTCAACACCGCGCTGAGTAACAGTCCGCAATGGGGAGTGTAGACATCCAATAGGCTGATGCGTTTCGAGGACTTGCCTCTTCCTCAGGGCTCAGCGCGGTGTTGACCCAGCTGTTCGTTTATGATGTGCCTTGACTTTATTCTCGTTTGTGAGTACAACACCTATTTTATTTCTTATTAAACATTTTTTATGGTAATGCACTAGGCCTGTGCGCCTTCTCTTTGTTCTTTCCTCATTCAGTATATTTGGATTCCCCCGGTCCATTTGAGGGCAGCAAGGTGTGCATGTTTCAGGACATTCTTAATGTGGTTGTAGCCTGCATCGAGTCCATCCCCAAGCGCAGGAGCATTTGTGTTTGCTGGTTCATTGATGCCAAAAATTTGACTTGCATCTTAGTGCAGACTTCTGGGAAAATCAGTGAGCCAAACACATAAGTAGGAAATTACATTTCAGGATGCATTCTGTACACCATCTGTATACAGAACAACTCCAGGTAGCCATATTGCATTGCATTGAACAGAAAATTACAGCGCTGCAGATTAAAAAGGGAAGATCATTTTTAATAACATTCAATTACAATATCACTGGAGTCGCAATTGTATACGCTATATTATTTTTTTTTTGTATTTGCTAATTTTTTTTACCCCTTAACTATAGCACATTTATTAAACAAATCAAATCCAAGAAGGAAAATAATAAATGGTCCCGTTAAGTTGGCATACCTTTATTTCTTGATTTATTTCTTGATGTCATGTACTGTACTCCTTAGCATTCATGGTCTTTTGTGATCATTTTAAATGAGGCCCTTTATGTTCTCATATGGTAAAGCTACCAATTCTTCTTGGCAAAAGGCCTTTAGATCCTGGAAATTTTTGGTTGTCTAGCAAGGACTCCTCAAAGTGGCTCAATCATATTGCGATCAGGAGATAGTGATGGCCATTCTAGACCTAACAGTTCTTCTGCTGCAGACTAAAAAGGGTATATTTTGCCCTATGGTTGGGATCATTGTCATATGCGGTGCATGTGCAACTTCTGGGCTGATGAGTGCAAATTTTCTGATTATATGCGGCAACAATCTTGCCATCAATTTTGACAAGGTATCCTGTGCCTCTGTGTCTCACCACCCCTCACCCCCCCAAAACAGCTGAGATTCCTCTCTATGCTTTGCAGAAAAGGATGAGATGCTTCTCTTCATAGAACTTTTTCAGCTTCTCTCTAAACAGAGTTCATGGTTAGAGAGTTTAATTTTGGTCTCATCACTTCAAATGACTTTAGAGCAGATGTTTAGAGGATTCTCTAGGTGCTGTTTGCAATATTGTAAGCAAGCTGTTTTGGGGAACTTTTGCAGCACAAATAGCTAACATTTCACACATTCTGTCCTGGGTATGAAAACTTACGAGCATAACTGTAACTTCAATTTTTGGTACCCCCTACCCACACTTTTGGGTGTGCCAGACGCCTGCGTGTCTACGGCTGTTACGTCACTGCCATCCTGGGCTTTACTTGATACTGGTCTATACCGCACCAGTGTGTGGTACACCTTTACTAAAGGTTCAGTCTAGCTTGAGACACCTGTGAAGTATTAGACATGTACTGGTGCATCACAAAATGCACTAATATGTAAGATTATAGCATCAAGTGCAACTAACTTGTGTTTGCTTCATTAACCAAAAGTTACCTATTTTTTAAGGTTTTTTTTTTTTATAGTTTTGGACAAGCTAGAAAAAATTACAAACTATGCCGTCCCTTTTGGGAAGACCACCCTCACTGGGGGAAGAAGTGTAAGGTAATCCTCCCAAATATGATAGAGACAACAACAACAAAAACAATAACAAGAGGTTACAACCTTTACCCATTTTTCTAAAAATGTTTTACTCTCTTTGTCCCTGTTGAGGATATTTCTCCTTACTTTCAGTCTTGTGGCCACTATAATTAAGATAGGAAATGATGAAAACTTCCCGGGAGTGCAAAAAAAAAAAAAAAAAAAAAAAAACAAAATAAAAAAAAAAACCCTAAGCACACTATCCAAAGCTATATGACAAATACTGGAAGAAGTTACAGATTTTATACATGAATTATTATAGCGCACTTCCATGTTTGTGACCAGGGACAGCAATTCCCTTTAACCACCTTCCACCCGCCCTATAGTACAATGACAGGCGCAAGGTGGTTCTCTCGTTCTGATAGGACGTCATATGACGTCCTTCCATTCTCACTGCACATGCGTGGCTCAGTGAGCACGCAGCGTGGTGATCGACAGTGCGTTGTGTCCCTCAGACACAGCGGATCACCGATCACGGAAAGAGCCGAAGATGTCGGGTCGGTCATGTGATCAGCTGTGTCCAATCACAGCTGATCACATGTAAACACGGAAATGCCGGTTATCGGCATTTCTCTCGTCTCGAGCTGTCATTCTGACAGCTCGAGAGGATATGAGAGCCGGCAATCGGCTTTCCGCAGAGGGGACATGTGCACTGATCATCAGGGCACTGATGATCAGTGTGCCCTGATGATCAGTGTGGCCCCAGAAGTGCCACCTGTCAGTGCTCATCAGTGCCACGTGCCAGTGCCCATCAATGCCACATATCAGTGCATACCAGTGCACAGCAATGCCACATATCAGTGCCCATCTGAGCTGCCTTTCAATGTCACCCGTCAGTGCCACCTATCAATGCCAATCAGTGCCACCTATCAGTGCTGCCAATCAGTGCCACCTATCAGTGCCAGTCAATGTCACCTATCAGTGCGCATAAGTGCCAGTCAGTGACGCCTATCAGTGCCAGTTAGTGCTGCCTATCAGTGCCAGTCAGAGCCGCCTAACAGTGCCAGTCAGTGCCGCCTATCACTGCCAGTCAGTGCTGCCTATCAGTGCAATATATCAGTGCTGCCTTTCAGTGCCCATCAGTGATGCCTGTCAATACCCATCAGTGCCACCTACCAGTGCCTCCTCATCAGTGCCACCTATCAGTGTCCATCAGTGCAGCCTATCAGTGCCCATCACTGCAGCCTCATTAGCGCACATCAGTGAAGGAGAAAAATCACTTTTTTACAAAATTGTATAACAACTAAGAAAAAACATTTTTTTTCCAAAATTTTCAGTGGTTTTTGGTTTGTTTAAGAAAAAAAAAAAATCCCAGAGGTGATTAAATACCACCAAAAGAAAGCTCTATCTGTCTCAAAAAATGATAAAAATTTCATATGGGTACAGTGTTGCATGACCGCGCAATTGTCATTCAAAGTGTGACAGCGCTGAAAGCTGGAAATTGGCCTGGGCAGGAAGGGGGTATAAGTGCCCTGTAGGCGAGGGGTTAAATACTTTACTGTCATAACAATTAATTCGGTATAGGATAATTATATGATTTTCAGACAATTGCAGTATGTCAAAGCCCACTCCTAAACTTGGCCTTTTCAGTATCTGAAAATTTCACCCTCTTCCTGCCCAATTTTCAGCCTTCAGTGCTGTCGCACATTCAATGACAATTACTTGGTTCTTCAACACAGAAAACAAATGCAATTTTTATAATTTTTTCAAACACAGAGTTTTCTTTTGCTCTTCTTGGCCGCTGCTTTAGAATGGAAGCTTCCATTAGACGAACATAATGAGATCTTCAGTGTGTCACCGTACATGTCTAAGGTCAACACGTCTCTCTAGGGCAACATGCACAGGAGCACAGCGACTTATATATTTATATGCCAGCTGTTGACATGTAATTTTCATTGAGTTTTAGTTACAACTTTCAGGTTGATGTGCATACCCCCCTGATGAAAGCTCATATACACGAGTATACACTCATTGTGATGAACAATGATGATTGCAGCAATTGATCCTCTATGGGTATCTTACCTGTATTTACATCACAATCCTGTTCCATATTACTGTCATCATGCACCTGTATGATGGAGGATCACACGGTTTAGATGATCACTCCTATAAGGTGGTTAATTTATGTGGTTCCACTGTTATACTTAAACTGATAACTTGTTGGACAGTGACTTATTTCATGAACTACTAATCTGATGATCCCCCATAATTTTAGCCCTAGTTTATACCTATGCCTACTGGGTTTATTCAGCCAAATGGGTAGGTGACAAGGGAAAACCTGGAGGGTAAGACTGACAGACTAGATGGTAGTTTCATTTACAAAATTAGTATTATTGGGCAATTTGCTCTTTGTTGACCTATATATAGGGCAGCACAGTGGCTAAATGGTTAGCACTTCCGCCTGGCAGTTCTAGGGTCGTTGGTTTGAATCGAAACCATGGCACCACCTGCCTGGAGTTTGCATGTTCTCCCTGTGCCTGGTTTCCTCGCATACTCCAAGGACGTGCTGGTAGGTTAACTGAATCCTATCTAAATTAGCCCTAATACAGTATGTATGAAGTGAAGTGAGTTAGGGACATTAGATTGTACACCCCTTGAGGGTTAGGGACTGATGTGAATGTACAATACTGTATATATGTAAAGTGCTGCGCAAATTGATGACGCTATATAAGTACCTGAAATAAATAAATATATATAAGGCACTCTTATACCTAAGGGTATACAAGTGCCCCCACAGAGTAGAGGGTTGTATACTCCTAGGGTTTCCTTTTTGCTTGAGGTTTAAGTGGGTCTATCCAGCCAACGACAAAGCACCTGCAAGATTGTTTTTGGTTTACATAAGTAATGGTGTACGTTATGGGGGGTTCCCCCAATCACTGTTAACTTCATACATCATATGACGGATCTATATCTTATGATCAGCGATGATGCAGCGGAGAGAGATTTATATATGGACGTCCGAACCTTGTTCTAACATTATTGTATTACTTTTTAATTTATGATCACCGAAAAGTGTTGTGTGTTATCCAATTTTTCTAATTATACTGTTTTTGATCTTTTTTTTTGTACTCAAATTTTCATTTTTATAACATATAATCTTCAAGCCACATTTGTCGCCTACAGTAAACACTTTTTCAAACTTCTGCACTTTTGCTGAAGTTTTCACTATTTTTTACAATTATTATGTTATTAAATGTTACTTCAGCTTTACCAAAAAAAACTGTATGCAGATAAGGGGTTGCCTGTAGATAAAAACAAACTGTGCAGCTTTGACTAAAGTCCTTGCTATAGGTATAGACCATTTACATACCTTGTGAAACCTGACTGGAAAACTCCCAGGATGCTGCTAAGAGAGGCCCAGCTGTTAGTGTTCATCTTCATCATCACAGGAGTGAGCTCTCAAATGCTGAGCTCAGAGCTACTGCATCAGGGGAGAGAAAGTGCACATAGGGGGGTTGATATCAGAGATAAAGCTCACTCCTCTGATGGTGAACAGCAACAGCAAGCCTCTCTTAACAAGGCCCTGGGAGTTTTTCAGCAAGCTTTAGGAGGCAGGCTTATACCTATAGTAGGGCATTATTCAAATTTGGTCAGAGCTGCACAGCTTGCTTTCATCTACAGACATTCCTTATCTGAAAGGCAGATTTTCTGGTAAAGTATGCCTTTAAGGCTACGTTCACACTAGCCTTGTTTTCAAGCAGCAGAAAGGTGTTTGGGAAGCGTTTTTACCGCTTCCCAAACGCCTCGGACAATTCTGCCCATTGCAGCACATGGTGCTGTTCTAACGGGAGCGGTAGCGTCGCGGCGTGCTGCGGCAAAACGGATGCCTCTGGTCGAGTCAGGAGGCGTTGAAGCCTCCTATTCTAGTCTATGGTGCCGCTCCGCAAACGCCGCGCAGTTGCGACGCGATTGCGGGGCGTTTGCGGAGCAGTAACACCATCCAAACCTCATTATAGGCGTTTGTGGGGCATTTTTAACGCTGGGCAAATGCCTAGCAACCACCGCTGAACCGCGCATGCGGCGTTTGCCGAGCGTTAAAAAACGCTCCGCAAACGCCGGACCAACGCTTGCCAAACGCTATAGGGGTGTTTGGCAAGCGTTGGTAAAACAGTCAAGTGTGAACGAGCCCTAAAGCATATTTACTACTTGGTAGGATAAGTAACTACTTGGTTGTCTAAATCCTAGCTACCTTAACACCCACTGAACACGTACTTTGACTACAACAGTGCAACACAACTTATGGAGGGTGTCCATGGGTGGTCCACAACATCAACCCCAGAAGATAATGTAAAACAAATTAAGCCAATATTTTCTAGGCATTATAAGCATTAAGCCTCCTCGGCGGTATGATTCTTTCCGATTTTTTGTGCTGAAAGCGGTACCATTTTTTTGCATGGAAATATGTAGTTTTTTATTGTAAGCCTGTAATTTTTAGGAATAACTCCCTGAAATCTGTACGAACAAGAGTCTAGTAAACATCCCGGTATGATAAAACTTGAAACCCAAAATCATAAATTATAATTTAATAAATAATCATAAAAAATAATAATATAATAATAATAAATTTAATTCAATAATATAATCAAACCAAAAACACTGAAATTTGAAATACAGAGGCAAATTCGCACATCGCTGAGCAAAGTCGCAAAATCGTTTTCAGTGTCTGATGACGAATTTCCCCACAAATCATTATCACTCAATTCTGCAAGTGGTTCTGATTTACTATCGCTGTTCTCTAGCCGGTCTAAAACCGCTTTTGACGTAAAGGGGCGCTTTTTGGACGCCATGGACTTTTCTAAGTTTCCAGGCAGAAAGAACAGTCAAAATGCAGGCAGGGCACAGGACAAAGCAGTAGGGACAAAATGTATGTGAAATGCATTGAAACAGCAATGACAGCAAAAATGAAATTTTTTTAAAATTTCAAATTTCCCGTACGTCCCGACGTCACAGGGACTGGAACACGGAAGCCGGATGCCGGCATCGGCCGGAGTAGATGGCCGGGACGCTGCAGGGGACACATCGCGGGAGCGAAGGACAAGGTAGGTGCTGCAGGGACCCCCTGAGCAACGCCGCATGGTAAGCCCGAGTGTAGCTCGGGGTTACCACTTTTGGTATTGAAATTTTACCCCGAGCTACACTCAGGATTACCGCTAAGGAGGTTAATGTAAATGTACTTACCATAAAGTGTTTCTGGTGAGACAGGGAAAGCTGGTGTGGGTGGAACATCAATTTCATTCCTGTTTCTTGTGTAACTGAAGAGGTTGTCCGTTTCATCAGCATCTTCTTGGTAACCAGAAAATGATTCCTGAGAATTTGAAAAATAAACGCTTAAAAAAGTAGCATGAACATAATGAAAATAACATATGTTGATTTATCAACAATATTAATAATAATTGTAAAGCTAAGATCTAACTTATTTATGTGATCAAACTGGACCTTTCTGAGAGCCAAAAAAATCAAAAAATATTAAATTATTTAACAGGTAATTAATTCCTTCCTACAGTCTGTAAATTAACGTTTTTAGTATGATGCCCAGTACCAAGGACATGTTAATAAATGCCCTCCCCCCCAAAAACAAAAAATACACAAATCACTAAAACCTTTCAAAAATGCAAGCAGTGGATAAAAGCATGACTATGCAACAGCACTAATGTGAACCTAGGCTTATCTGTAAAGTTCTTTCTTGGGACTACAGTACTGGACACGGGGTCTTTAGTCTTTACCATGTGTTATATGCACAGGGACAGCCCCTATATATTCTCTCCCACTCCTAGCAATCCTCAATTTTGTAATAAATAATAGGGGGATCAAGGAACAGAGGGGATGCCAACACAACAAACAATGTGTTCTGTGGTGACGAGCATAGTGCAGTAGAGAGTAAACATGAACTAAACAGATTCAGGAAGGATACCTCTCTAGACTGTAAATGCTCCATCCTAGAAAAAGAACTGGATATGGTCTCTTCTTCAGGACTTCTCTTCCATTCAAATCTTTTATACGGAGAACTTGAGGTATTATCATACAGACCAACGCTATGCTTTCTGCTGCTAGCCAATGAAGTATTGGATTTTGAGCCTGTGAACATAAGCAAAATGAAGTTTTTATTAAGTTAAGAATGTCTAAAAGCAGTCACAACATTAAATAATGTAGAAATACTAATTGATTCTGTACTACCTTAACCACTTCCCGACCGGCCGTTGTATATAAACGGCCGGACGGTGGCACTGCAGGGTCGGGTGGCCGTTTATAAACGGCCTCCCCGCACCCTGCTTGTGCGTGCTCCCTGGGAGTGCGCCGCACCGCGATCCGGTGCCCACTGTGTCCTCCGGACACAGTGAAACACCGATCGTCATGTGATCACTGATTGGCCAATCAGTGATCACATGCAAATTAGTAAGCAAGATGTCACTCGTGACATCATTGCTTACTACGTGTGAAATCTGTGAATGATCACAGAGGTCACATGGTACAAGGCTATTCACAAAAGCCTTGTACCATGTGACAAGCTGTGACCAATCACAGCTCACTCAGTACTTCTCAATGAGTGCAAGAATGCAGACAGAGAGAAAGAGAAATGATTGCTTTTACATCCTATATGGGTGTAAAAGCAATCAGTGTAAAAAAAAAAAAAAAAAATCTTCATCACCCCCCACAAGTAGTACAGTGTCACCATGGTGACACTGTACTGCTAGGGTGACAGTATGTAAAAAAAAAAAAAAAAAAAAAAATAAAAAATAATATAAAAAAAGTTTAAAAATTATAATTTTTGGTTATAAACTAATTTGGATTTTTTTTTTTACTAAAAAGATAACGGAATAAATTTTGGCCAAGATTTATGATGAAATATTATTTATTTGCAAAATTTTATAAAAAAAAACACTTTTTTTTCAAAATTTTTGGACATTTCATTTACATAGCAAAAAAAAATACAAATCCCAGCGGTGAATAAATACACCAAGATAAAGCTTTATCTGTCTCAAAAAAAATGGTAAAAAATTCATTTGGGTACAGTGTTGCATGACCGCGCAATTGTCATTCAAAGTGTGATAGCGCTAAAAGCTGAAAATTGCCCTGGTCGGGAAGGGGGTAAAAGTGTCCGGTCTGGAAGTGGTTAAAGTGATATTAAACCCAAAAGCAGTTACTAGATGTGATGGCTGCATTAGTTTCATTTTTAGGCTTTCTTTCCTTTATTTTCATTTGGTGATCCAGCCAGTAAGTCTGCTGTTTTTCAAAAGAACCAGACCTCCTGCAAATGTGTCACTTAAGAATGTTGAGACAAACCATTTAACACTGACACGGGCCCTTACAATGATCAGCTTTTATTTCTACAAGTAAAAATGTTATCCCAAAAGAAAAACTGTTGCTGTAACTGCAGTGTTAGCTGGAGTTTGGCTTGAATTTGTTAGTGTTATCTAAATCTGCTAGTACGTCTAACACTCCGCTCGCCTCAGACTGAAAATGCTGCGGTTCAAAGGTGCATCAGAGTGGGGGCACTCTAATAAAGGTGGAGGTGTGTTACTAGCCAGATCACCAGGAGAAAACAAATTTTCCTGAAAAAAAAAAAAAAGAAAAAAAAGAAAATGAATGCAGCCACCATATCTAATGATTGGTAAGCTGCAATATATTACATTTTAGAGCCAAAAGAACAAAAGGAAACCAGCGCTCAAATCTTCATGCAGACTAAAGGAGATTCTGAATGGCAAACGCTGAGGTGCAGGCCTTCAGAGATCGGGAAATGTAGGTGATGGTGAACAAAAACAAACAAGGGCGCACTCCCATCGTGCATTAACGTGATACACCACGTATTTACTGAAAAATTATAGACAAAACCAAAAGGGATAAAAACAGAACAGGTGATCCGTAAAGACATTTTATACATTATGATACCATTATCATTATTCTTCTTTATTTTTGTCATTGCTGCATTTATTTTCAATATACTATTATTATTTTTTTTTCTCTCGTCTGTTTTGATTGGCTGTTCCTTGATTGGGCGGCCAGTTGTGTGTGTGCGAAGGGAGGTGTGTCCATTTCTTTACACCATTTATTGGACTACTTAAGTTGGACTAGCAGGTCTACCTTTTAGCTCTGAGGAAGGGGGTTCATCTGCTGAAACGCGTTAGCCTATCCCTTACAAAGTGTTTGAATCCATTGGACTGTCCTTACGGATCACCTGTTCTGTTTTTATCCCTTTTGGTTTGTGAGTATTTATCTATAATTTTTCAATAAATACGTGGTGTACCACGTTAATACACGATGGGAGTGCGCCCTTGTTTGTTTTTGTTCACATTTTAGAGCCAGTAAGAAGCTCACAGTGTGCAGTGAAACCTGAGTAACCACAGTACAACTATGCAGAGTAAAGGTAAGTCTGAAATTCAGCTTTAACCTCTATACCTCCTCTGAAAAACCTTGTGAAAGATCCGGCCCTTTATAATTTCCCAGATTTGAATGGGTGCAAAATGCATTATGGGGTGTACTTCAAAGACGCTTTCAAACACGTTTTATGGCTATGACCATAATTTTTTTTTTTTTTTCCAAAAACAAGGAAGGTTTATTGAGATATAGCAATGTACAAATCAACACAATAAAATCAGCATGCGAAGTATGAATAAGACATTGGGTAATACACATTACAAACTAGAAGTAAATGAAGTCTACTGCACAACTAAACAGTGTGGAGGAACTATGCCACGACAGAGTTGAGTCTGTAATACACGAAGATGCTTGTAGAACGAATTATATAATGAGGCACCGGACCTCCTATGGTAATGTCACTGATTGCGGAACCGTAGAGGGAAGAAGAGCATAAACAAAGTCAAGACCGAAGTATATGGTATAGATTTAATACAATGGAGGTATCCGAGTGCAGATGTGGGAGTGTATGATCAAGGACTGCTAATGAAAAAAAAGGGAAGTGCTGTTGGTATGCCAAACTGTCTTCTGGATAATTGATAAAAACTTACGGGAATGTATCAGGGAAAGAAGAGAGAAGAAAAGAAAGAATGATAAGACGAGAGGGAAGGAGGGAAAAGAGGAGAGAAGGGAGAAGAAAAAAAAAAAAAGAAGGGGGGGGGGGGGGGGGGGAGCACGTAAAGTGGTTAGGATGAGACAGGGAGTATCAGAATGATTGTGATTAATATGGTGGTACTAACACGGATGCAATTTAAAGTTCAGACTATCATTAGGTTCAGACGGCTGGGGGTGAAGCATGGGGGGGTTCAGTCCCCCTAGCGTCAAATGAGACTGAATAATACCCTCAGGAATTTCAATTGAGTTCAGACGGAATGGTCCATGAGGGATCGGTATTCAGGGGTAGTCAGAAAATGTATCCAGCAGGCCCATATGTGGGAGACTTTCACAGGGGTATCGAGTGCAGTCGCAATCAGCTCCTCCATTTCCGCCACTTTGCCTACTTGAGTGAGCCAGTCACGCATAATTTTTTGTGATTTTGCTTTTATTTATGGAGATCAGTAATTACCATTTTTGTGAGTCAAAAAGAATAAACTGTTAGGCCTCATTAACACATGCATACCTATCTCTACACTTGAGTGAAGGGCCATCCTTGCCCATATGGGAGGCACAGATTTTCTCTGCATCTGCTTGCAGGTACCGTATTTTTCGCCGTATAAGACGCACTTTTTCTTCCCCAAAACTGGGGGGGAAAAGTTTGTGCGTCTTATACGATGAATAGAGAGAGAATCCGTGAGGCGTGGCCACGGCTGTAGGAAAGGCCGCGGCTTTGGCCTATCTCTGGAGCGGTCGGCCATCTTGGTACACCCGACAGTGCGTGCTGACGTCATCACCCCCTCTGCTCGTGGATCAGCAATGGGCAAACTACGGGGCGGACAGGATGTAGGCGGGGCAGCGTGACGAACGCCTCTCCTCTCACAGTCCGCCCTGAAGACCGGAACGGAGCGGGAACACGGCGAGAGGAACGCGCGGAGCAAAGGTAAGTGAATTGACACAATATGGGGAATGAATTACTATAGGGGGGATGAATTACTATGGGGGATGAATTACTATATGGGGGATGAATTACTATATGGGGGATGAATTACTATATGGGGGATGAATTACTATGGGGGATGAATTACTATTGGGTTCAGAAGAATCTTTTTTTTTCTAGATTTTCCTCCTTTAAAATTGGGTGTGTCTTATATTCCGAAGCGTCTTATATGGCGAAAAAATACAGTAGTTGTAGTCATGTCTACTGAGACACAGCTGCTGGGCACAATTTTTTAGGCATGCAGTTGCGTGACCCTGAATGCAAGAGTGCGTTTTCAAGGACATGCACCCGCACTGCTGTCAAATCGGGTCTGTGCAGCTCTTGTGTCCCAACAGACACGATTATGACTGCCTGTGACAGATGTATGGACAGGTATTCCCTTGTGAATGAGGCTTTAGGCCTGTTTGTCAGTATGTTATACAATTTTTCTTTTAAAGAAGAAACTTCATTTAATGCAAAACTACAGCCAGTAAACTTACAATAAAGCGATTTGCTTGAAATAAAGTAATTCTAAGGCATTTTTACAGCTGCTCCTAGGTGTGCCTAGCATTTTTTCTTTTCTGCCTCTAAACTCCCTTGCATGTCAGTTTATACAGTTGTGTTCAAAATAATAATAGCAGTGTGTTGAAAAAAGTGAATAAAGCTCAAAATCCTTCTAATAGCTTTTATTTCCATCCACACAAATGCATTGGGAACACTACACATTCTATTCCAAATCATAACATGAAGAAAAATATATCAAATTTGTGTTGTTCCTCTAAAAAAAAAATTGAAGAAAAGTGAATATTAGACGGTTCAAAAAAATAGCAGTGTTTGTATTCTTCTTTACAAACTCAAACATTCACTATATAAACTGAAAAATGTTTGAAGATTTTGCTTTCCTTTGAATCACTTAATGAATATTTGGTTGTAGTCGCACTGTTTCTGAGAACTGCTGTACATCTGTGTTGCATGGAGTCAACCAACTTCTGGCCCCTGTGAACAGGTATTCCAGCCCAGGATGATTGGACCACATTCCACAGTTCTTCTCTATTTCTTGGCTTTGCCTCAGAAACTGCATTTTTTATGT